CTGTTCATATAGAAACACTAACTCAGTGAAAGGAGATGCACCTTGCTCCGCCAGTCTTGCCACACAAATGGTTTGCACAGCCTGAAGGCAGAACCCAGTTATCCAGAAAGAGAACACAGAAGACACTTTAGAAGCAGTCAGCAAAAAGATACATAGGAAAGTGCGGGAAAAGCACATCACTAGGCTGTCTGCAAACAAAGGGCTCAATCCTGCCCTCAGTCACATGTGTGCCAGCAGTCTCATCGACGGCGCCTTGCACTCATGTGTGACTGAGGGCCGTGCGACAGTCTTTCACCCTGCGACAAACTAGCTTGCCAGTAGAGAGTGGGAGTGTTGGGAAGGTTAAAGGGGGAGCAGCTTGGTTGATTCAGAGACCAAGGCAGAGAAGCTGTCCTGCTAGCGGCTGGACATTCCTCCGCAGAAAAGCAGTAGGTAAAGCAAAAGCATCTCTTGTAATCTATGGAGAAAGCCACCATGCTCATCAGCCAGCCAAGCTGGAGAGATCCACCCCGTGTCACATATCTGGCTGAGCGTAACCAACCTGTCTCACTACCTGTGTTTCTCCTAAACTAAAAGCATCTATCAATGCACCCATCCTGTCTGCCAAATAGGCACTTGAGGAAAGATGTTTACAGGTCCAAATTGTTCTCCCATTTCCACTCAGCGTCTGCCTTCACCCACTTCATGTGATCTATAATGGAGATGTCAGCAAAGCCCTAGCACAGTTTCTGGGTCCCCCACAATCTCGCTGTGCACCATTTTGAAGGTGTCAATGAACAGGTCCATCCACTCTTGCCGCTCATTTCCAGTGGCAAACTTGGCTTTTTCGGCGGTATAGGCCAAAGTGGCCACCAGCTGGGTGTACATGCTGGGGTCCTGGGTTTCCCGCGTGGAGTTTAGGAACTGGGCGATCGAATGTATGGTGCTGGGGAAATCTATGTTGACTCCCTCTTCCATGGGGCGGAAAATAAGTGGGTTTACGTTCCCAGGGTTCCTGCCATCTGTAAGTGAGCGTCAAAAGAATATTTTCAGGGCTTTCTAGCAATGGCTGTCTCTCTGAATGTACCTGGCTTTTCTATGTACACTGCACCAGATGAGAACAGAGCTAACAAGAGACAGAGAAGTAAAGATCAAAGCCAGACTCTAAATTTCAAGATCTAAGTCTCAACAGCCTTGTTAGAATACATGTCCCAGGGCTAGATGTGGCTCCTCTGGGGAAAGCTCTTCTGGCCTTTTGCAAGAATGGCTGGAGCCAAAGACAACCAGGTGAAGGGAAAACTGCCAACGGCTTGCAGAACAGCCCTTAAAGGTACCTAGGAGAGAGCAGCTCTTCAGTGATTAAGGAAAGATCTACCCCAGTAAGATCAGATGAGGGGAATACAGACCCTACTGCAACTGGCACTTCTACAGGTTGGGGGTAAGATAGTTATTTATATTTTATAGATGTTCTACCTGGGGCATCTGACTCGTGGAATTAGGTATTACTAAATCCTGAAGAGCACTGGAAACACAGAATAAGTAAAGACAATCAGTTGTTTATTTTTGAGAAATGAATTAACTTATGGACCAGGTAACTGTCTCACACAGAATCTGAGAGAATAAACTGCATTTGGTGATTTAGTGACAGGGAAAATACCACATTTGCTTGAGGAACCACATTTGTTTGAGGAACCATGGGATTCTCACTGAAATCACACACACATCAACCAAGAGTCCTCAGAAAAGGACATGAAAATGAAATGGCCCGGTCTCTTCCAACAGGTCTAGCATATTCATGATGGTGGAAGAGCAGTATTCAAGAAGACGGCCAAAGGGTCCAATTTTTTCCTTGGAAATAGGATTGGTTGATACCAGCTGTCAAGTAGCTTTGAACTCTGTTACATGCAAACTGTATGCATGATGCTATACAGCTGGGGAGCTAGAAAGACATCTAAGGGAAAGCATTACATAAACTCCTTGCCTGGCACTTAGCCCTCTGTACTTTGACGAGAGTTAATACTCTGTTCTGTATAATGTTCCTGTGTGACATCTATGGCTACTCAGGATCCTAAAAACTTCAGTTTCCACTTGATTGCACTGAGCTTGTATTTGAGTAAAACCCCAAAGCTTAAAGCAAAGCCTTTTGTATGGGTTAGAAAGAGCCTCACAGAGCGTCATGCAGTTTCTGTCAAAGCAACTGGTAAGTTCAGGTTTGCTCAGCATTTAACCCCACCTGGGCCCCATACCAAGAAACACTCCAGGATCCTGTAAGAACCACAATGAGAGGTGATAAGGAGACACAGGCCTGTCCTGAAAACAAGAAAAACTGGATTTCCTCAAGGAACAAAGGACTGAAAGGCAGCATGCATTCCTGGCTTCCTGAATCCGCAGATGAGAATTCATAAAGTTGGTGACTTGTCTGGCTCTGCAAGGTAGCAGAGAGGACACTGTGATATAATACCTGTCCCTCTCCATATTCTCCTGATGTAACATGTGTCTCTCCATATTCTCATGACCATATTCAGGCTGGTGCTCAGGTTGTTCCTTTAAGTGCCAGGACTGCAATTCTGAAAGTCTAAGGGCAAAGAACAGGGCTGAGTATAGCTCCCTCACTGAAACTATTTGGCCTACCTACCACTTGGACACATGCCTTGCATATGCATTAAGCTCACTCACATACCCTGCAAAGGTCAACAACTCCATTCAAAGGGTGTGCATATGATTTAGCATCAGCTCTTGAAAATGTTCTCAGAGAGTCAGAGGAAGCTGAACACTGATGCATAAAAATTCTTTGCCATGGTTTCAGAGCAGCTGAAAATCTGCAAACTCCATCTGCAAACTGCATTCCTTATTTTACTTGTCATCCAACATGTTTCTTTACTGCTATGTGGATGTGATCACTGCAAATCCTTCTAGATGATGATGGAAACACATCATGGACAGTCCAGTATAGCAGGTGGAAGGCGCCTTGCGCAAAGGCCCCTGAATCCCTGGGCATCATTTACAACGCACTTAGTCTATTAGGCCTAGCACAGGTCCTTGCACACAAGGACAACTTTCGCCCATGTTGAGATGGGTGTATTGATACTTTCCACAGAAGGGCCGCTCCTAGCACGCCACATTGTTCCAGCTCCCACATCCTGCAGGGCTGGAGGTATATAGGGCCTGCACAGGGTTGTGCCCACCTACGGCATGGCTTGAGGGAATTGTCCAAGAGGGAATCTCCTTAGAAGCCTCCTCGTATCCCATCTGTCATTTCTGTTCTGGTCTTCAAGCATGTCAGGTACAAGTGAACTGTTCTCACCTTGTATCAGGAACAGAAATACCCAAGTGCACTATAATGAAAGGACAGCCAAGTTCACCTTGCTTTGGAGGGTTATGATGGCCCAGACCTAGAAGAACATGAATTGGCCACTGACTGCTCAGGTCAATCTCTCTCCTGCAGTATTCCACAGAAAGAGGGAGGCTGCAAAGACCAAAACCTTTAAAGACATCTGAGCAGTCACTAGAGTGACATGGAAAAGTTGCCTCCTCATGCATGGATCCACAGGACATAGCTCCTCAGAGTACATGACAGAGGAATGTGCCTGGACAGCTCAGCACCGCAGTACGACATTGCTTTCTCTGCGTGCCCAGACGCAAACATTCAAAATATTAGTGTAAAAGTCAGATTGTAGACATGAATAAATATAGCTTTTCTGACCATTCTGGGACCAGTTTTTCTTTGCTTCAGTATGGAAATGAAAGGCAACTCTTTAAAAATGAAAGTTGAGAGTTGAAGCTTGGGACTTTCAGAAAAACATAATTACGGCAAAAGTTGGGGTAAAAAAAAATCATAAGAAATGGCAAAACTTTTCCCCCTATATGCTTTGAACGTATCAGCAAATACTGTGTCTAAAGTATTTAAACAGACAGAGAGACTTAGACAGCCAGTATCTACAGAAATTCAGGTTGCACATCTGTGCCTTAACAAGCGAAATATGATCAAGTAAAGCTACCTGCGGCAAGCAGCAGCTCTCTCTTTTACATCACAGGATCCTTACAGCCTTTTTGCTTTGATCTAACATCCTGAGTTAATTGTTAATTAAAATACAGCCAGTGTTAGAGAAGCCAAAGCTTTCAGTCCGCTACAATGTCATTTTCCAAACTGTCCCTACTCCCTGCTCTGCCCTCATCATTCACATACAGCATCCTGCCCAGCGCTGCAGATTTAGCTGTAGATTTCAAAGGACATATAGGTTGGGAAGTTTAGCAAGGAGGTTTTAACTTGATATATAATAGAAACAATGAGTAAGTGAGAAACTAATTACTGAGTCTGGAGGTCGAAATGTGGTGGCTCCCAGGAATTTGGAAATCTATGTAAAGTTCTGTTGCTCTCGGAAAGGGAGAAGTATCAGAGCTGAGCAAGGCTTGTGCACTAACATGGTGCACTATTACCTTTGAAGAGAGCTCAAAGAACCAGGAAAAGAGAAAACCTGGGGCCTTTCCTGATGTAAAATAATACTATTTCCCAAATTCCCTGCCATTCCAAGTGAGTGAACAGGACTGAACACTCCCTCCCAGTCCTGAGTCTTGTGCACTCTCCCCTGGACCTAGCACTCTGTGCTGGTGGCACGAAGCTACTTGTAAAGTTTACCTGTTTGACAGGGCAGCTCGGGGCAGACGATCTGTGGATCTGGAAGGAAAAGAAACAAGGAAAACTGAGTGATGTACTGCCATCCCTCTTTACTGCTTGAGCAGTCAGAGTAGCAGGTCGAGGCCCCTCACATGGGGAAAGGACACCACAGGATTGCCCTGAAAGGCTGTCCCTTATCTAAGGAAGGACTGTCTATCCAGGGCTACATAACCCTGCCAGATGGAGGTCAGGCCCCCCACCCAACTTATGCACTACTGGCCAACCTGCTGGGCACAGCAACTCTGCAATTGCTGCAGAGCACCGTACATGACTCCCACCCCAAACTCTGTGTCTAGGAAACTTCAGTTCCTATAAGAAGTTCAGGGACAGGTACAGACCTGGGCAGAGCACATCCTCCATCTTGTCAATGAATTCCTCCGCCACCAGGTCTGAGAAGAGCCTCATCTTCTGGACTCGCTGGGGTTCATTGCAAGCAATGGAGACCAGGGTCTCACTCTGTTCTGGCTGATCAAACATGTCCCCAATGCCAATGGTGTTGACGAGCACATCTCTACCACAAAGAGCCCTTAGGTTCTGGTCATCATCCCGAGGGTCATAGCGCCCATCTGTTATCACCACAGCAAACACTTGGGCTTTCTCTCGCCTGCTTTCCTTGATGAGCTTGTTGTAGGCAAATTGAAGAGCAGATGGTGTCCAGGTGCCCCCAGCAATCCACTCCAGACGCTTCACTGCTTCCTTGAAGCTCGACAGTGAATCTATGCGTTCATCATCAAGTTTGATTGCTTCAAAGGTCCCGTCATGACTGTACTGCACCACTCCGACTCGGGCACCTGACAATAACATGCCACATTACCTCGCATTGCATCCTCATGGAAAAGTTGAGAGAGTTAGCAAGCTTTCATATCTGTGAAGAGCTGCCCAAATGGTCTATTAGGCGGGGAAGGGAAGGGAGGAGGGAGCAGAAACTACTACAAGAATGCAAAACAGATGGATTGCACACCAGGGCAGCTACAGACATATGTGGAAGCTGGACGGACACAAGACCCTTTTCTCTTCCTCATACATGCCCCTCTAGCCCCACAACACACTCCAGACCTGTTTCTGACTTGGGGTCCTTGGCGATAGAGCCCAGCCGGCTGACCACATTGACAACGAAATTTTTCTCCAGGGTGAAGTTGGTGTAGCCAATACTCTCCGAGCTGTCTATGACAAACATAATATCCAGGGCACCACAGCGCTTCTCACAGTCTGGGGAGAGAAACAGAAGGAAGAGATCTCAAAGGTTAAGGGCAGTGGGAACAAGAGCCACCAGGGCAGAAGAGCTCATATACAGGAAGATGGAGTCATTTAACATCACACCAAGGATTCAAAGGGTCTGCTGTGCTTCCTGCAGGCAGCAGTGCAGGGATAATTCTATGTGCATCTTTCTGTTGATATGTGTCAACAGAAATAGGGTTAATCCTGCTGCGTACTACGCTCTATTGTATCATCTGGACCATGCAACTTGATTATAGATCACTGCTCCTGCAATGGCAGAGCTGAATTTTGGAACATAAAGCAGGCAGCCCCAGCAGTGCCACACTAAGTGGTGGGCTCAGACTTGGGTGAGCAGGTGAGAATTTCCTATGATGTCTTTCTCTGCTACCTCAACTACAGGGTACAGCATTACACAGAGAACCCGAAGAGCCTTACTGTGCCAGTGGCTCAATGTAAAGGGCAGAGCAGAGGCCATCCTGAAAGGGAGACAAGGTGCATGGGATTTCCTGGATCTCTATCTCCCGCTGAGACTGTTTGTATTTTTGTTGACTGCCCTCTTGAGCTCACAGCGGCAGAGCTCCTTCAAGGATGACTGTCAACCTGCAGTTGCTCTGCTGCCTGCTGATGCTGTCTAGGAAGGAGGCCAGCATCCTTGCCCCTAATCACCTCTATGGAGACACTGCCCAAAGGAAGGAGAAGGCCTTTACTGATCTCCTGCTCAGAGGCAGGCTGCTCTACAGGCAGCCATCTGTGATTCTGTGAACCTTTGAAGTGACAAGGAGGCAGGACTGCCCTAGAGACAAAGGGAGTCTGTCTGCCTTCCTTCTAAACCCAGCTGGTTGTTGTCCCCCTGCCTAACAAATGGTTTACAGTTCCAAAGAGAAGCAATAGTCAACTCACCACAGCATCCACATGTTTCTCTCACATAGGTCATCACATCACAGTCCTGCCAGCAAAGCAGAGAGACAGGGTTCAGGGCGAGTGCTATCCCTTCCCTTCCAAAGCAACCAGGCAGCCCTACCCTCACCCTCCGAAGTGGAAGACTCTCCTTTCACTTCCTACCCAGCAAGCCCCACTCTTTTCTCAGTTTGTGACTGTTTCAGCTCCCACTGGAAGTTACATGTCCCTCACCCAGACCTTGGCAAGATGGCTTCATTCCTGCCCTATTGCAGGATGATGGCACCCAGCTCTTTTCCAAGATCTATCTCTGCGTGAGATAGTACCTAACATCCTGTTTCATGCTCAGGCTGCGTGCTACCAAGAAAAAAAAAGCGGGGCAAGGAGGGAAAAAAGGAAACAAGGAAACAAGAAACAGGAAACAAGAAAAAAAAAAGGAAAAAATCAAGCTCTGCTGGTTGCCCCCAGGGGGAAGAACACTTGGATGACTTGAAGACCAGTCCTACTTACAGTTAGGCCAGGATCTCCTGGTGGGCCGGGAATTCCCTGTAAGAAGAACACAGTGTTTTCAGGCACAATTTTCCTGGGAAGACTAGACTTCAGTGCCATCAAGAACCTGGCTTTTTGGAAACGTCTGCCATGGGAAGAGTAGGAAAGCCTCTGTGGTAGCCGGTAGATGTGTCTGACAGCTGGAACGCCCATAAGTCACCTCCAGCAAGTCCTGCTGTAAGGAGACGTGCTGGGGCAATCTGAGCTTTAGAGCAGCAGGCACATGGGAGAAGTGGGGAGAGGAAGAAGGAGTTGGAGCATCTGGTCAGACATGACGGCATGATACTGTACCTCAGGGCCTGGTTCACCAGGTGGGCCTCGGGGTCCAGGCTCACCTCCTGGGCCAGGATCACCCTGAGAAAGAAACAAAGAAGAGTCAAGCATTTTCCTGACAAGGCTCACGACCCCTGCTGCCGGTGCTAGGGGCTCCTCCTGACCCGCCCATCAGGCATGGCCCTACTGAGTGGCGTCACCAGCCTGTGACAGGCAAGCTTAGAGACAAAGGACAGGAAAGATGGCTGGCAGCGTGCTCTCCAGTGATTCTGCAGCTTTATTGCTCAAACATGGGAGAGCAGAGTGGGTACTCTGGCAGAGCACCCTCACATGTCAGGTGGCTATAAATCCAACACATCCAGAGCACTCACAAGGGAGTATGTGGCGGTGACACAGTTGACCCCTTCTTTCAGCCCTCACATGTTGTTCTAGCATGACCTGACTGACCTTCACAAGCACAAATTTATGCTATTCTTATAAAGAGACAATTACTGGAGGGCTATGGGCCAGTGGTCAGCTAGTGGGAAAATAACCCAGCAGCTCCCGCTTTTGATTCTCAGTTTCTGCAGGGGCTTTGGCAAAGGTGTAAAAGGAGATGCATGCCTTCCCTGAGCTGAAGCTGCAAGCAATACTGAAAGCATACTTACAGGTTCCCCTTTCTCTCCTTTTGTGCCTTGCACTCCTTTTGGTCCAAGCTCACCTCTTCCTCCCTGTTCAAAGAAGGGAGAAACAGATGAAACAGATCCAGCACCGAGCACATACGGATGTACTCAGACAGATGAATTACTGCTAGTGAATCCATCAAAAACATACGTGTGTCTGGCCTGTCTATCCCAAAAGAGCACCCTCTAAACCAGCAGCTCAGCAGAGAGCAAATAAATAGTGTTTACATAGGCCACTCTCTAAAAGGCAGTACTGAAGAATAAAGAAGCTTTACAAAACATATTTGAGATTTCCTCTCAAGGAGATAAGCATGAAAGCTATACTCAGGGTCAGGCCGGACACCTACAGAGCTGGCCCATCTATTTTGCTCAGTACAGTTAATATTCACAACCAGACTGGAAATGCACAGCTCTGGAGAGAAAGCCTGGAGTTTGCTGTGGGCTAAATAAACCTCTGGTCATGCAGTGGTCACAGGCTACTTCAGACAGTGTTTGTTCCAGAAAGTGGAGGCGTCAGCAGCCGTCTCTCACATGGTGCTGCCATCCTTGAGTGGAGTGACCGAGCTTCAGAAGTAGAATGTAGAAACCCCCTAAGAAAATACTGAACACTTGAAAAGAGGCCTTACTGCTAGGCACAGCCAAAGCTCAGGTTGCCTGCACAACTCCCATGAAAGGGTTAGCAGATCATTTGAAGATGGAGAAACAAATCATTTCCCCCAGTCACCTTCTCACAGCAGCTAAGCTGTTTCTTTTGTCCTTTTACTTACAAAGTGCAGCATATGAAGTGGTGGGGAGAAGAAAACCTAGAGATGTTTGCTTGCAAGGAAGTAGAAAAGCTGCTGCAGGAATACAGGTTCCTCAGCCACTCATTCAGAAAGCCAGGAAACAACTACCTTGCATTGCAGTCAGGCCAAAACCAGACTGACAAGGGGCAAACATTCTTACCTTTGGTCCCAGCTGCCCCTTCTCACCCTTGTCACCCTGGGAAGAGAGAGGAGTGCGTCAGCATCTGACCAGTAATGGATTTGCATAGTGCACACCTATGTTTGAAGGCTATACTCAGGGGCTCAAAGCTAAATGATCAGTGAAACTAAGGACTGACAGCTGGGGTGGTGGGCACATGCACCTCCCTGTCATTTCAGTCAAGGCTGGGGCCCTCTGCGCTTCTGACATTGAGCTGAAGGAGCTAAGGCTGGGTTCAATCTCTATGAAGCAAAAGGGGAAACTTCCTACTCACAGGGACAGGTTTTGGACCATGGCCAGGATGTCCAGAGGTTGATGTCTGAATCTCTAAATTTACCAGCTCAACTGGGCGAGTCAAAGAATTATTGCCCTGCTCTCCTCTACCACAGACAGGCAGTTAGGCAGTCAGTTTGCAGGACACCATGGCCTACAGTGAATGCAGAATGAGACTCGCTCCAGCTTCTTTAGAAGAAGGGGTTGCATTTGCAGTCCCAGCTCTGCATTGCCTGTTCAGTTTTTGACTGCAGTAACCAGTGGGTATGGGACAGGAAATCTAATTTCCCCAACCTAGTTTCCGAGGGCGGTGAACAGATCTGATGTCCCAGCATTTCTTAGAGTAATAGTAAAGCTCCCTGACAGGGAATCCTCCTTGGAGCCCTTCGGACATGTGTGAATGAAGCATCCCTCTCCCCTCAATCCAGAGGGCAGAAAACAGACTGCTGGAAAGCCGTGGAAAGACTGCTTCCTGATCCCCTTTGCAGACTTCATTTTCTCATGGCTCTCATCGTATTTCTCTCCTCCCTTTGTCTTCCCTGAAGCTGTTTGGCTTCACTGTGAAACCCTCCACTGACACAAGCTACCTCCAAAGCTGCTCTAGTGCATATACCTGCACTGCATGAGCCATACGTACCTGCAGTCCTCTGGGGCCTGGATAGCTAAAACCAGGTCTGCCTCTGTCACCCTGTAGGAGAAAAGACATGACCGATCAGAAACCAAACCCAGCCTTTTCTGCCAGGGACAGCCAAGGCCATTTTCATTCACCCCCCAGGGGAGAGAAAGCACCAAGAGCCATGACTTCTGCACAGCCCCCTCCTCTAGCAGTTGGGCCCTGAAACATTGGGAACAGCCATTTAGAGTGAGGCTTGAAAGGATCTTGGGGATATCACACGCCAGGGATACTCCTGAATCTTTACAGGGTGAGGGATGTAACCAGATCTGTTTTGGCCAGAACAAGACCTAAGTCTTTGTCCCACAGAGAAGACTAGGCTTGAGCCGTTGCTGTTTCCAAGGCACATAAGTGGGTCAAAGAGTTTCTGCAGCAGAAACTGGCTTAAAAACAAAAAGCAAAAAACATAACACTCTTAAACGCACTGAGTTGCATTCAGAGACTTTACCTTTGGTCCTGGTGGTCCTGCATCACCTCTTGGGCCCAAGTCACCAGGATCCCCACGTGATCCCTGCAGGATAATGTTGGAGATAGTAGAAGGAGTGTATGAGAATATTTCCTGTAGCTCCCCGGCCATATGGGGGATAATGCTGGGGAAACCAGCTGTTGAGACAATGCAGTAAGACCATCTCCCCTCCCAATACGGTTACTGCAACAGTGACTAATTCATCACTTGGGTTTCTGCATCCCACAGAGCCAACCAGATGTCATGGCACCATTGTCAAAATGGGGTACTGGATTAACCACAAACCTAGGCCGAATAAGCATTTGGAGCAGACCCATCTTCCCTAGCTAAGTGCTCTGCTCTGATGCTGTTCCCTCCCGCATTATCTTGGGAACACCTGGGTGGTGGGAGTGATGGACAAGTAATCTTGCTGAGCACTGCTTAGCTCAGAGGCAAGGACTCCTTGATCCTAACAAGGACTAGCAGGAGGCATCTGGGCTAGTTTTTGAGCCTCCCTGCAAGAAGGTCTTGCAGTTTCCCCTCTGGGGGTGACAGTGCAGCCAGCTTATGTTGTTAGGGCAAGCTATCACCACAGAGGGAGGACAGGGTCACAGAAATGTCCTAGGACAACTTACTATATTGCCTGGCTCTCCCACAGCACCCGAAGGGCCTCGAGGTCCCGGCAGTCCTTGGTCTCCCTGGAAAGCAAAGCAAGAATTGAGAATATACAGGAGCAGATACAAACACACCCCCTCCAAGCCATATGGCCTCAGTGTTGGGTCAAGCAAGTGCTCTGGCACCAGAATGATTCTTCTGGCGACTATGGAGTCCTAGCCTCCCATTTCGGTCTCTCTGAATGAAAATCCGTTCTGCATGAAGCTCCTCTTCTGAGGGCAAGCTGTCTAAGTGACTATCCCATGTAAGAGAGAGAGTTCTCTCCAACCACAACCTCCCAGCTGAACTTTCTGTGCAGAGAACACCACTCAGCTGTGGGACCAGCCCTCTCTCTGCAGAAGCACCTGTGGAGAGTGAGGACTGTCCAGCCAGAGGGAGGGGATGCCTGCATCAGGAAACATTTGGCAGGGGGAGCTGGTGAGCTGTCCTTGGAGCAGTGGCACTCTATCCCTCTACTGATTACTGCGACCCATTACTTGCTTACCCTTGCTCCTTTGCTTCCAACCTCTCCGGGCAGGCCACGAGGACCCTCTGGACCAGGATCTCCCTGTGGTGAAGGTAAAGACATTCCTTGTCAGGCACATCTCCCAACTTTATGTGTGTGCTTGGCAGGCCTCTGAGGAGTGAGGATGGGTGATGCTGTTCTTGAACCTAGAGCTTCTTAGCACCAGTTCAAGAGAGGATGTTAGGGCAGGGTGCCCTCTGTACACAGCTATCAGCCTTAAGCACTACTATCCTTCATCCTCACTCAGCTCTGGATCAAGTCCTAGTAGAGTAGGATGTGCCTGCTCCTTTCAGACCTTATTGTCACGGCTCCTTGAGGTCAGGGCAGGCACCAGGCACAGTGGGAGCAGAACCCACATGCAGCACTGGAAAATGCATTTCCCAGCTCTGGCCTTGGGCACTTCCACGGCTCAGCCGGCAGTACATCACGCAGGCCTACACATCTCCGTCTCATTTGTAATGGTCTGTGCAGTTGCTTTACTCACCCTTTCACCCTTGGCCCCAGGGCTCCCTTTACTGCCTTTCGTCCCTGGATCTCCACGTCGACCCTTGGCAGACATAGAAAGCAATCACATAAACTGGATGCAAACACAGATGCTACCTGAACTGTGATGCTTGGCTGCCTCTGCCTTCTCCTTCCTAGCTCAAGAGTCATGTTTCCTTGTCCTCCCTTCGTAGCATGTGCCTGGCAGCTGGGGAACATGCATGCCCGTGCTAGGCACTGCTTGGGGTCTCTTGGGAAGTCAGAACCAGACTGTTCTCTTGGGAGGGTCATTGTTGCAGTGTCCATACCAACACTCATGCTTCATGCCCTCAGGATTAAATACTCTGCTTTATTTTTAGCCTATCTGCCTTGTCTTCCCCTGTTAGCAGAAGGGATCTTGCAGAAACACATCAACTGATCTGTACCAGCTAGGCTCTGGCCTCTTGATGCTGGTGGAGCTGTGCTGCTTTATTCTTCCTGGGGATGTTGTCTTCAGTCCGCTCCTATGAGAAGCCAGCGATCTGAGGACTTGCTAGAGGACAGCCAAAGTGTACCTGGGCATGCACAGAGGCATTTGTGATTACGTGGGAATATGGGGTGCTTCTCTGAAATGGTTAAAGTGAAATGGTTAATGGTGCTGACTTTAAGACATCAAATTCAGAATTATATAGGTACTCCTCTGTTAAGATGAGGAGGACTGTGTTTCAGCTTGCTGAAAGAAGCTCAAGTGGTCCTTGGGCTTCATGGTTTTAATGTTTTCCTTGCAATTAAGGGGAATAGATAATATCTAGTTGGCAGGAAACTGCCTAAAGCAGCTGCAAGAAAATAGGGGAAACCTATGTACATCATACAAGAAGCACTCAATTTAAGCTACTTGCCACATAAGAAACATTTGTTGCCTCATCCTCAGTGCAAACTGCCATGACAAACTCAGAGGTAACTCTCCTGTGTCCTTACACAGCCCTGCCAAGGTTAAGACGAGCTCCAGGCAGGCATCAGCACTCACACTGGGATTTATCAGGAATGGCAGATAAGGACATAAGCACCTATGCATCTTTTGGGATGCAGAAGGCAGGGCAGGCAGGCTAAAAGAGGAGTTTCTGGACTTTGCTCAGCCATCAATAAAATAGGTTTCTGTTGCCTTCCTTGATGGCCTGTCCAAAGTTTGTCCATGTACCTGAATCACACTTCTGCAGTGCGCACACTTTTCAGAGAGCTGTTCAGAAACTTACAGGCTCTCCTTTGGGTCCAGGAGGTCCTGGTTCACCTCTTCCTCCCTTGCTCCCAGGAGGTCCTTGAGCTCCAGCATTGCCTGGAAGACCCTTGGAAAAGAAAGGGTTTGTATGAAGACAAAGCAAGGTGCACATCTGTTTTCCTATGTCATACAGTCCATCATTGAACGGATGCATATCTGAACACCTCCCTTATGCTCTCACATAGTCACAACCCTGCAAGTCAAAGCTACAAGCACAGATTCTGCCCTCAGAGCAGTGCAGTGCTGTGTCACCTCTTCTCTCCACCAGGGAAGTTCCATTAACCAATGGAACAGATAAAGGCTTCCCAGCACTTCCTTTCAGCTTCTTTCTGACCATGTCCAAAATCTGACAGCTCTTTCAGCCTTCTGCATAATAGCTGAAGTAATTGGCCCAGCAACACAGCAACTACTTTGGCTAAATAAGTTTCACATGCTGAATGCAGTGGCCAAAGCCTATGTAAGAGCTCTGAGCAATTAATCATTAGTGTTTACTTACCTGAACAAAAACTAGCTGCAAACACTGTCAATGCCAATAACACCAAGAGAGTGATGAGACTGTGGCAGGGGAAAGGCCCAGACAGGTCCTTTTTATCCAGAATGATACGGGAAGAGGAGGAAAGATGCAGTGCAATGGAACTGCTAGAAAGGTAAATCTTTCTCAACATATTTTGCCTGCATTTCCACGCTCTGGCCAATGCTTGAGACACATTCTCAGTTTCCTTTGGGCAGCTCCAGAGATGCTGCACAGTCCCCACTCCTCCTGTTCCACGCCTAGTCATGATGTTTCCAACTGCACCAGTGGAAACACATGAACAGAGAAAACTCACTCCACTGCCCAGGGCCTGTATTTCTCAACGCTGGTGCACTGCTTTGCAGAATCACCAGGATGCCTCCCAATAGGTGCAGGTAAACAGCTGTCTTTGTGTAACTGCTGCCCTGTGGCCAGTGGCTCACTTTCTGATAATGCTCTGGGGCTGTGCCACATGGGGCAGCCTCTGGTAAGAGAGTGGAGACATCTGAATGTTGCATGAACCTACCGGGCTCCCTTTTTCCCCTGGAGGTCCTGGAGGTCCACTGCGACCAGGCCGGCCGGGATCTCCCTGAAACAGCCAGAGAGCAATGGTCATTACTGACGTTGGGATTTTGTTTTACACCACTGACATGCGCCATGTGGAACCCAGTGAGGATGGTCAGCAAAACTCTTCCCTTAGTTCCTGTTTCTGGTGATGGGATCCACACCCCAGAGGCAGGAAAGATCTTACCAACTCCATGACTATCAATGGAGTTAAGAATAAATACAGCCATTGGTATTTAGCTCTCCCCACTGGTGGTCTCTTTCAATACTCTCTGCTCACTGTTCAGAATACATGTACCTTTGCACCTTCATCTCCCCTTTGTCCTTGGTCTCCTGCATCTCCTGGGTAGCCGTCAGGGCCCTAGGGAAGGAAAGAACAAAGAAGCATTCATTCTTCAGTAACAACAATGTGCAGTTTTCTTGCAGAATAAATCAACATCCTTAGAAAGTCATTCTCTAGTGACTCAAACTCAGTTTCTGCGTGCTGCTGTTGCTCCTTCACACATGGAACAGAGGGACACTGGGGGATCCCAGTTTTCCTGCCTACAGAAAGGAGGCATTGCAGGCTGTGCTCCCCTGTTGCAAGCCTGGGACTGGACCATGCAATAGATAGAAAACGGGCTAGTAACCTCTCTTATCAGCCATATCTTACTGCATGTGTAATTCATTCATCAGCTCAAGTTAGTAGGGCTGCTCATCTGATCTGCTGGATGAAAGAATAATGCATTCCTACCTTGTCACCAGGATCTCCCTTACAGCCTGGTGGTCCAATTCTCCCCAGCTTGCCCTAGAGAGAAAACATTCAAAAGAAAAAGACAGACAAATTCTAGGTATCAGAAGGGAAAAATATGGTTTTTCATGTAACAGTTACTAATTTTTAACATCCTCAGCTGAACATACCTGTGATTAGACAATAAAAAGCAAATGTGTTCCTTAAACTGGAGCATTGCTGTCTGCGGTGCGCAGATACAAATGGAGACAAAGAAGCAGTCTGGGCACCTTGGAAAACCCTAAATGGTTGTAGGGCTATTGTTAGGAATTCAAGCACACTCCTCCTTGCACACGTGCCTTGGGTGATAGTTTAAGGCTTATGAAAATGTCTCTTGAAGTTGGATTTCACAGTCATTCATGTCTGAGGTTGTGCTAGGCCTCTGTCGTGTGTCTTACAACAGAGTAGTTCGGGCATGTGGTAATCATGCTACCTGAACAGTGCTCTTAGAGTAATGATATCCTTGCTCTGTGCTCCAAAACTGCTTTGCTAGTAGCCATTATATAGCTAGCCCCAGCTGGATAGAAGTGGGAAGGGTGACCGGCAAAAACTTTGATCATCCATGTGCTAGCATTTACTGCATTTTGCATAAGGGACATTGCTGGTAATTTTCAGCTCTTCACTAACACTCAGAACATAATTTCATGACATAACTAAGCCAATCTAAGAGCTCATTGATGCTGAAAAAGGAAGCTCAGTTTTCCTGAGCAAACCCGACATATACTGGCCAGCAAACAAGGCCAGTTGAAATTTTCTCAGCTTAGGCTATCTCTGCCCTCACCTTAGAGGGGGCAGAGGAGTTTAGAGACTTTGTTACACGGTACTTGAACTTGGCCTTAACAGAACGGCTTTAACAGAAAGAATAAGCAGCATTTTAGAGATGAAACCTTAGATTCTGTGAGAAACTGCCTGTAAACACCAAATGCATGCAAAGATAGCCTACAAATCCTGCAGGTCACTAATGCTAAAGATGAGATATCTATACCCAGATGATCTGAGTTTAGCAAACTCTGCAGCAATCTGGGTTATATAGTCTTGTAGAGAGCTTGCTGACAAAGGTATAGCACTTCTGTGACCCACGTGATTACATCTCCAACTGAAACATTTCTATAGGACTTTGCAGAATAATGTGCAAACAAGCTCTCAGAAACCTCAGTCAGATTAAGATGGAAGTGTATGGGATGGGAGAAACAAAACCTTCTGAGGGGAAAACGGGACATAAAGCAATGAAGCAATAGTAGTGAAATTACAGTGTGTTCCCAATGCTGTTACCTTCTGTCCATCAGTGCCGTTCCGGCCTGCCACGCCAGCAGCACCCTAGGATCAAGGGGAAAAAAAAGAGGGATTAGTTATCTGTTAGAGATATTCGAAGGTTCAAAGTTGGGACTACACGCAAGGTAGAAAAAGTCCTTTCTTACCCTTCGTCCATCAGATCCAATCTCGCCCTGGGGAAAAAAAGAGGACAGGAGTCAGCCAGTCTGCCAGTATCATGCTCATCACAGTCATAGGACCATGTCCCAGGGAAGAATAGCTAGGCTCACACAAATCTTCTTTCTGGTCTCTTAATGTGTGTGTAAGGGGACTGTGGATACTCAGACACCGCGTTTTGTGCAAATGACTCTGCAATCTCTTTGTTACTCCCTACTCTGCAGAAAAAGAAGCTGGGACGCTCCATTTCTTCAAGGAGTTCCTTGCCTCATATTCTCCACTGACCAGACCATCAGCTGGTGCAAAATGCAGTATTTCCTCTGATGTCATAAGGAGAAGAGTGATCTGCACCGGCAGTGGATCGGCCTTTATTTTACTTCATTATGAAGTCACGCGGTGTAGTTTCTCCTCTCATGCTGGAAGACCTACCTGTATTTTTGAACACCAAATGCTGGAATTTAATGGACTACCCACTTCCGAAGTGGCTTAGCAAGAACATCACAACGTTGCAAGACCATGAGAAATGCCTGAAGGAGGACATAGGCCTCGAGAGGCTCCGAGAAATCTCTCCCCATTTCCTCAAGCACTTACTAATAGGATTATTATTCCCACAACCATGGCTACACTCTGACACAAGTATCCCCTTATTACAACAAACAGATCCCCCCTGGCCCAGCACCCAGACACACCATGAGAGCTTTTTTCTCACCTTTTCTCCTTTCAGTCCTGGAACACCCTAGAGCAAAACAAGAAGAAAAGAAATAAAATGATGGTAGTGCTTGGAGACTCATCGCAGCAGAGGCAGAAGGGCCAGCAGACACACAGGGGAACACAGAGGTGAGTAGGAGATGGGGAGGTTGAGAGGGAGAAGCAGAGCTCTCCGCACCACCGAGGCCAGGCACAGGCCTACCTACACACAGCAGTTGGGCCCCAACATTGCCCACGCTTTCCAGAAGGAATGCCTGGCAACAATTCCTAAAGCCGTATCGAGTGCCTGAATCAAAGCCGCCGGAGCTATACAACCCCTTCATTGCCAGTCAGAGGACTTTGGAGGAGAGAGATGTGCCAGGCACCTGACTTTGAAGATGGAGGCATTCAAGCACAGCTGAGGGAGTGACTGATGGGTGTCCTCTCCTTTCGGTAGGCGAGGGTAATACAGGGAAGGGGCAAGAAGGGAAGCAATATTGAACAGTGGAAAATCAGCCTGGATCTCCCCATTGCTTTTTACCAAAAAGAAAAAAAAAAACAGTGAATGCAAAGAGCTCAGTCACTGGCTATATGATTCTTACCTTGGGGCCAGGGTATCCAATTGGACCTTCAATACCTGGGTCACCCTTAAAGAAAGGAGAAACTGAGAATTAACTAGGGCACAATACAGATGCAACTCGAATTAAAACCGGAAGAGATCTGCTAACTGCAGCAGAGGGAAGACCTGTCATAACTCACCTGTCGTCCCTTCAGTCCAGGAGAGCCTGGTTCACCCATGTTCCCTTTCGCACCCTAAGAACAAAACAAACAATAAGTCAGGGCTTGGTGCCGACTGTAAATAAAAGACAATTTCTGGTATCATCAGGCTCTCTGTGGCTGCTCCTAGAGGGTGTCCTACTGTACTTGTGGAATTGGACCTACTTTATTCCAGGGAAGGCAGGGGAAAAGCTGTATGGGGAGGGGAACTCACAGGCTGGCTCAACAGAGGTTGAAGCGTGCTGTGGATTTTGGTAGGATGACACATCTTGCACACATGAGAGTAGGACATCCTGCTGTTGGGAAACCTGTCTTGCTCCTGCTGTCCCAACACAGATTCTCAGTTGTCAAATGTGCTCTAGTGTGCCAAAGAGCAGGCTAGCCATGGCTAGAATGGCTGATGCTAGGATGCTTCTCTGCACTGTTGCTGGTGCATCATCCTCAGCATGGTCATGAGGAGACACCAGTGCTGGGTGTGTGCTTCACTTGCAGCAGCAGTACAAATCTGCCAGGGCCAACTCAGGTGTTGCAGAGTTACTTCCCACAAGGATGATGCTACATCTGCTGCAGTTGAGGTGAGGAGATCTAAGGACTTGCACAGTGTCTGTGACAGGAGCTAGTGTAATTCTCTTCTGATACGTTAGGACTACTCACCTTCTGCCCTCGGTACCCCTTGGGACCAGGTGGACCTGCAATTTCCAGGCAGGTCATCTTGTAGCACTGAAAAATATCAAATTAAAAAGGAGGTTTGCGTTAGCAGTATGCCTTCGGCTTCATGTTCTGAGCCAGCATGCACCCAAAGCATGATTGTGTGCACCAGGGCTCTCTGCTGCCCACACAGCTCTTCCACTGATTGCAGTGGTAAAAACTGCCAGTGATAAGCTGGTATAAAAAAAAAAAAAAAAGTGATCCAGTGGGATCACAGTTCAGGCAGCAATAAGCGTGCTGAAAAATCTTACTCATAAATTAAAAGCAGAAGGTTACCATAAGCACATTCAGCTTGGTTTGGCTGTGGGCCCAAACCCAAAGAACAGGATAGTTAAATGTCAAACAGAAGGCATTCTGGGCTTGATGTTCGGGGGCTCTCAGCGGAATTCATATGCATTTTGGGGCCTCATTCTACATACATTTTTCTCTGTGGTCCAAGGCCCATCCACACGAAAACGACTTTCTTTAGCTTTAGCCTGCAGACCACCTACAAAATATGTCTCCAAATCCACAATGATGAGATGAGGCCCCCAAGGAGTTTAAGTGAAGAGGCTTGAGTTCACTGATGTGAGGGAAACCACAGGGTGGGGGGAGGCAGAACGTGAAGAGTCCAATATCTCATTTTAACTAGTAGGTAAAATGACTGGTCTCCAGGCCCTGCACAGGCTTCCACAGGCAGGCAGCGCTCCTGTCCTGTGCAGCTCAGAGTAAAATCAGACCCACTCCCTTGAGATACTAGCTAGTCTTCTCTAAGCAAGGAAGCTTTAACCTATGTTGTGTAGAAATGGCATAAAGATGCTGTTCGCTTACCTCTCCGTAGGCTTCGTGTTTCTGCAAAGGAGAAAACAGGACAAACAGAATCAGTAAGCTAGTTAGCTCCAATGGAAAAACAACATCAGAGTCGTGTGTGTGTTCCGTTGGAGATGCGTGTTACGATCGGGGAAGGAAGGTGGTAAAGGTCTCATGGCTTTAAATGTGCCTGAGTAGAGTCCCTGATTAGCAGTGCCTCACAGATGGGGCCTTAAACACCATTCTGATACCTGAGAGGAAGCTCAGAGACCCTCACTGATCTCATTTCTACATGCTCTTCCACGTGGTCCCAGGCTTTTGGGAGGCAGCATAGGTCTGACCTAGTGGAACAGACATCATGCGGATGGCAGCCTATCTAGAAGTGCTGGGGAACAGAGGCGCAAAACAAGCAATCCTAGTTAAGCACCTAATCAGAGAAATCAGATGTATTCAAGACTCCTTTTGGCCCATAACTGCTGAAAGGACATAAAAAAGGAAGAGAAATAAGATGGAGGCTTTTCCATGTTACAGGCAATCTGCAGAGCACTGCTGAAACCCACCACAAGGCTTCTCAGAAAGCATCCCAACTTTTCATGTGCTGTTTCTCTTGTCACCCTTCCCCGGTGGGGCAACACTGCTATCCTGTTCCCCAGAAGGGAACACAGGCACAGGGACACTGCATGACGACTGCTCAGGGTCTCCCACATCTCAGCCACACACCTTCACTACTGACCCAGCCTTTTTCATTGCTCGCACTGTGTGGTGGGCCCTTTTATATGCTTGATGCTGGGCACTTGCCTCTGAGGACTCTCCCTAACCCTCCCTCTCTGTCACACCATTTTGGTTCCCCCCATTGTACTCGCCATCCACAGTTCAAGTGAGAAAGAGCATCTTGGGCAGCACGGACCAATGGCACTTACCATGACTTGGATTATCCTCTCTGTAGTGTTCACATCGACGTCAAGGGTGTCTTTCTGCGTGATGGCATAGTTGTTGCGATAAAGCTCATGTGGCAGGTTGGCAATCTCCCGCAGTCCCTGCTCATAGACATTCTCACTGGGGGCCACTGCAAAGAGCTTGATCCCCATGTCTCGTGCCCTCTCAGCTTGCATCTTCATTCCCCCGCAGGGACTGCCAGTTACATGGCCATCTGTGATGACCACTGCAAAGTTCACACCAGGGGCCATCTGGCTCTGGATCTGCTCTGTCATGTTGGAGATAGCACAGTCTGTGAAGGTGCCCCGGCCAAGGTAATTAATAGCATACAGCTTGCTGAGGTATGTGTCTTTGCTGCTTGTTAAAGGGCTGTAAATTTCCACCACATCTGAGTAGTGAAGTCCTCCAAACCTCCAAGTGATGGACACTTGGTTCTGGTAGACCTCATTCTCCAGTTTATCGATAAACACAGGGATGAACCGCTTTATTTGATCCACAAGGCTCTGGATAGGCACAGTCTGCAGAGCAACGCTCTCCGAAGTGTCAATGATGAAGTACACATTGATGGGGCAGTCCCTCTTTTCTGCGCAGAAACAAGGATGTGTCAGAGCACTTTAGGTAACATTGCACCCCCTTCTCTAATGGCCAGAAACATGGGCTGCAGAGTTTAAAGTTCACAGAATTTTGAACAGAGCAAACAACAGCACAAGGCACAAGATTCAGATTCCTGTGAGGGTGTTGCAACCTGTTACTAATGACAAGTTATTTCCACCTGGATTGGAGGAAACTGATTAAGTCCCTGATTTGAACTGAGAAGAGCAAGGATAAGACCCTTGCTCTCCTATACTTCAAATGAATGCCCTGACTGCTACGTCGCTGGCTGCTTTCTCTCAGCTATGGACAATTTCAAAAGGACCATACCCAAGTGCAGTACTGGAAAAACACTAGCTCTAGCAGTGATATCTGTGTTCAGGTCAGAAGATTCTTTAGTATCAAGGACTTCAAAATCCTAAGATTTACTTTCTGTTGAATTAACCTTGAAAGTCTTGCTATTTTCTGTAGTCAGGCTGGACATATAAATAAACTCCTCCACACTGCAACTGAAAAGTTCTGAAATCATCAAATTCAAAATAAATTATTTTTTAATATCAGATATGGAGCTCAATTCTGGAGACTTGTTGGTTTTAAGTATTGCATGACTTTGGAGCATATCCACCACTGGCAGGTCTGAGCTCTTCATTCCCTAACTCTCTGCACTCCAATGCAAACTCAGAAATAAGAGTTTTGACTGAAGGTGGCATTTCCTACAGAATGACAGATCGCTACGCCAGGGTGCTGCCCAGGAGTGCAAAGAAGCAGGTGAAGTATAACATGCAAAAGTTAGTTCCTTCTGAATAGACTCAAGAACTGAGGGTGATCACAGCTCTCCGTAAAATTGCTACCTACAAAGGAGACAGAGACACATCCAAATTATCTGGTTAATACCTGCACAGGAGGTAGGACTGAAGTCTCCAACATCCTCCTCAAACTGAGCGTGGAGAGGAACTAGTGCCATACAAAGAAGAGTGGAAAAAAAGGCTTGTCGGAACATCTCAGCAGTTCCTCTGGATATTTAAATGCCTGTAGGAAAATACAAGTAACCTGTTAAGCACAATATACCACCTCCTAGCTCTGCTGGGTTCATGCAAAACCAGCCATGCTGGGTTCATGCAAAACCAGCCAATACTCCTTGTAAACCCTCTGCAGTGAAGAGTGCAACAACCCTTCTATTCCTATATGACCTTTCCATCACTGTGATACAAGAAGGGGGATGCATCTCTGGGCCTCTAATGTAGATTTTTATATTGATTTGAAATCTAAGTAACTTCAAAAAATTTTACTTTGCTGGAGTCTGGTGCAAGTGATTTAGAAGTGCTTTAGCTCCTCTGTCATTCTGATGGGAGAGATCAGGTGACGGAGGTGTAGACAGCACATCAGAATCTTCTGATTCCACAGTTACTCTTAGATGTAGTCCAGCTGCCCCATAATCACATCAGTTCCAGTGACGTCACCCCAGACCCACGCGGACGTAACCATTTGCACTCATTACTTCACCTGTTCAGCCAGAACACAAGTGAAGGAGTGCAGCAGGCCCCTTCTGCCTCCACCTTGCCATGGTGATGCCCGCACAATACCCTAATGGTACAAAATCCCTTGCTTAACAGTGCTGCTTTGTAGCATGCACAGCCCATAAACAGACGTTTGAGAAAGAGCATAACTTTAGTATCCAACACATCACTAAGGTTCTAAAGTCCAGCTGCACATTTAAGCACATTCTGTGTAGGGTTTTAACAACTTAAGCAGCAGAAAAAGTAGACTTCTAGTCTGAAAAGGCTTTGGGGATGCATGGAAGTATTTACAGGAACCCAGGAGTTGAAAAGATATTCCAAGACAAAACATAAGCAACTATTATTATCAGCAAAGGATATGGAAGAAGAAGTTATCTCGTTCCATCTGAATATGAGGAAAAATTTCTTCCCTGTGAGGGTGACCGAGCACTGGCACAGGTTGCCCAGAGAGGTGGTGGAGTCTCCTTCTCTGGAGACACTCAAAACCCGTCTAGACACGATCCTGTGCAATGTGCTCTGGATGACCCTGCTTGAGCAGGGGAGTTGGACTAGATGATCTCCAGAGGTCCCTTCCAACCTCGGCCATTCTGTCATCCTGTAATTGTCTTTATGACTGGAGTACAACTGTGCTAGCATGGCAGCTTCACGGCACACAGACCATGTACTAGCATAGCTACTTTTTTGCTTGATTGTCAGCTCAACACAAGCCAGGCAGTAAGGGATATGTGTTATCTGTGTTATGAAAAGTAGGCCTGAATGAACTCCAGAAAGAGAGCTGCTTCCTTAAATGTCATTTTCTGGTAGCTCTTGGAGGAGTCCAAGGTCTGAATGGGCATGAGAGCACATTCATCCTCCCTTGAGTGGGGTTGCACTGGCAGTGCAGGGAGAGCATGTGCAGCTAGCTGCTGCCTTAGGTGCATTAGAAACAGCATTACCTGAAGAACACAGATAGCTCAGCTTGCCACCATCTCACTAGAGCCTTCTCTCTGTGTAGCTAGTGACCAGTTATTCCCCAGCGAGAGGTGTCCCAGGCCAGTTTACAATGAAAACTGCAGTGCATCACAGGATTCTGCAGACTGGTTTACACTGGAAAGGCCTCTTCCTATCAGTGCTGATGGTAACCTTACCACAGTGACAGTCTTCCTCCTTACTAAGGGCTATGCATTTGCCAAAAAGCCTGAGAGAGCCAAAGCTCAGGTGGGATTTTAGATAGGGCAAGAAGGAACCCACAGCCTTTGGAGAACTCCTGGGGAGGGACAAGAGGTGCAGAGATCTGAAAGCTTCAGTGGCACCAATGTGAATTGCCTCACACACATGGCCCAGGAAAATCTCTGATTGTCAGGGCCTCTCAAACACCTCCAGCCCAGCACTCAAATGCCACTACTGAGAACTTGGTCCCTGGGGCCTTTCCTTTCCTCTCCAGCAAGGAGCTCAGAGAGGGTGCAAAGCTATTCATCAAGAGACCTGAGTGTGGCCTCATGAAGTCCCTGCGTAGGTCAATGGGGCTGAATTTTTATTGTGCTGCAGAGAACAGAGTAGGTATTTTAAGCATAAAATACTTATTTTAATCCAAAAGGGGCATTTTGGCTAAGATCAAAGCTTCCTCGCTCTTTACTACAGGCTTTTCTCATCTTATCTGTCCTCTACAAGGCAGAGCTGCAGGAGATCTTGATTTCTTGAAAGAAATAACAGCTTTGTGCTGTTAGACAGAATCATTTCAAAGTCAGTCCTTAGCGATTACGCAGGAAGCTGGACACATCAGTTTTTGGAGAGACCGGGAATACTGGAGGTTTCGGCCAAGTAAGTATCTGACTCACCGATCACAGTATCCCAAGTTTAACCAGCTCCGTTCCTCCTGCCATATGTGTGGGCGAGAAAGGCACAGCGCAGAAGAGCTTCTCTACAGGCAGAGTCACATGGATTAGAGAGGGGGCAGTTAAAACTACACAGATAATGAGGGTCAGCTCCAGCACAAGACTGCCCTTGCCCACAGCTCCCATGACTTCATACTCTATCAATCAGGTGGCCTTTGCCACCGCACAGACAGAAGTGCAATACAGAAAAACTACACCTCAAAACACTGGATATACTTCACTTTGCCATCCTATTACACACAATCTCCCTTATTCCACTATATTACACGGTCTCTCTCTCTCTCTCTCTCTCTTTTTTTGTTTTTTTTTTTTTAACAGTTTTGCTGCCCATGCCACTAGTGGCACATGCTGCTCTGTCCACTTCCCATGTCAACGCCCATAAGATCCTTCAAGCAGTACCTATCTCTCCCCATTTCACCCTTGCCCTGGTGCCAGCCAAGCAGTCATTCCCAGCACAGCCCTATCCTTTCCCTTCTCAACCTCAGCTTTTAGGGTAGTGCCAGGGACCTTCCACAAATGTGAAGCACAGAGCAGGAGCCGGAGGGCTGGGCTGTGAGCACAGCATTCACTTGGAAAGTATACAGAGGTCCTTCCCCACACCTTTTACAAACTGTTCACAGATCTCAGTATGTGGAGCTACATTAGCCTTCTGCGATACCAGAATCCCATTCAGCGACTTCATTCAATGTAAATGAATGCAGGAGGTGAAGGTCACTGGAGGCCTCTCTCTCCATTTAAGGAATCTCCTAGGTTGGACTGGGCAATGCTGCCTATTCTATCATCCTCACAGTGTTATCAGCTGTTGTGATTCTATTGCAAATCTCATAACATTTGATATTTCCCTTAGAGCCCCAGCCCCTGCTGTGAAGTGTTTGAATGCAAATCTCAGATTTCACTGACAAAAGGGTATATTTCAGACTACTGCATTTTCTGGATGTTGAAGATAATTTTTGAGCACTGACAAGACAGAAAACAAACAGAAAGAGCAAACTGACTGTTATGATTTGGGGAACTGACTCATGATATTTGAATGCCTGAGTTTGCTCATGCTACTCCTCCTCGTCCCCTTTCACAGAATCACAGAAGGATGTGAGCGTACATCCCTCCCTCTGCCAGAGCAAGACCAGGGCATTGCAGGAACAAGGTCTCACAAGGATTTCTCCTGAAATTTCCTTCTCTCAGTATTTGTACTATTAAGTGATACATCTCTTTCCCCATGAGAAAGATATACAAAATGTATGCAAGGAAAAACCCAGGGAATCTCCAGCAACGGTTTTAGGTCCCGTAAACAGATTATGAAGGCATTAGGCTGTTAGGGGCTATGCTCCCACCTGATGCCTCAGGTGCTCAGCAGAAAAATGTATGGTCTTGACCCATACATCAGTAGTGCCCTATAGTGTGCCTGCTGCTCCCACACTCATAGCCCAGGCGACCTGGTCGCTACCCACACCATTGCAAATCCGTATGACGTTATCTACATAGGGCCCTGCAATAATGGAGGTGTTGCAGGAGGCCCCAAATTCTCTACTTGTGGGTACCTCTTCCCATCCTGAACAACTGAATTAAAGGTAATATTATGACAAATACATGACTTGCAATGACTCTTTCAAACATGCAAATTAATTTTGGCTTTGTTGCACACTTACAACTGACTATTTGCACAATCTCACTGCAGGGGAAACTCTCATCTCATAAGGCAGAAGGAGAATTTCCTGCAAATACAACTGACCTTATCCTTCATGGTGCTCCAGAGAGCACAGACTGCTTACCAGCTTTTAATGCGCTAGAAGGTTCATCTCAAGTGCCTGGCCAGTCAGACCCACGGTCTGTCTTATTGCACACATTGATATGTCTGAAGTTCCTCCTGGTACACCTTATCTTTCTCCTTCAATACTACAACACCTACTATAGCTGAGAAAATTGTTTTCCTGAATTTACAAAAATTCAGACACTCCACATTCTAAGCTAACTCTTTTTGCAAGGAGCTTACTTGCGGCCACTAGTGAAATTGTGTCACTATCAAGACAGAAAAATTACACTAGCTATGGAGACTAAATTTGAAAACTGCAGTGCTGGTCTGTCATCCACTCAATCTCAACTTTTTCCTGGTCATGACCAGTGGGGCAGCGCCTGTGCTGCTATCCAGATGTGCAGACAGCATTTTGCTCTGCTCAAACATTTGTTAAATAAAATAAAACCAGAAAAAAGTGCCTCCCATTTGGAAAAAAAGTTCATATAAATGCACATCCTCTTCCTCATTCATTTGCACACTGTCTTTGCACATTGCATATGGAAGGATTTTCAGTGTTTGTCACACTCTCTACCCAGACACATCCCATAGCTTTAATCCCTGGGTACACCATCCACTGGGACGGTTTCCTGCCTGTTGCAGGGAATCCAGCTCTTTTACAGCTATCCTACTGCAATTTTGAGAGGACTTAAGCCAGTGCAAGGCACACGGAAAGGCGGCCAAAGTGGTAGAAATGTTGTTTGCAGCTGGGAGAAAGAGCCTCCGCCCGGACACTGTCCCACCCTCTGCCAGAACCGTCTCCTTCCACAGGACAGCACATGCCATCGCTGGTGAATATTGCAATGATTTTTGTACGCTCATAGCCACCAGTGAACTGCTGGAACTTCAGTAGTTGCAAACCAGAAACAATTACACACTCCAATATACAGCACTAACGCAAGAAATCAGCAATCAAAAAGAGCTACTTAAATAGCTGACCCAAAAAAACCAAGCACAACGAGAGCTGCAGGAACTTGCTAAGAGGCTGTTGCAGTCAAAAAAGAGAAGAGCTTGTGCAGATGAAATTCAGCATAAGTAGGAGACACAAATTACATGTTAGTCTAATCTGGAATACATACCTTTATTTCTGAGGGTTTTTTGTTTTAAATCAAAGAAGAGTCACTGTGCTTCACGGCAGCAGAAAGATACCATGCTGCTACTGTTACAAACAATGACTTAATCGTCTTATAACTAGTGAACTCAATTAAGTTGCACTAAGGAAGAATTTGGTTCAATAGGTCTTCAGGGAGGGAGTTTCTAGACCTCTGGCCCTGGCACATGAGAATCTGTGGCTCAAAATACCTGAATCTGGAAAAAAATCTTGTACTTGGAAAAATGCCTGAACTCTCCAAAAGCTGAAAACAACAGAAAAACATATACCCTTTTATAGCAGATACTGTCTAAACACAACATGCCTGAAATAAGCAGCTTGTTTGAGAATCTTTGAGCAGTGGCGAAAGCTGTGTAACCTGCAAGGGCTCAAGCTGGGATTTCAAAAACCGCTTCTTTTATTCTCATCTAAAGAACCCTCAATAGCTGTGCGAATGCTATAAAAGAAGAAAATTCTGCCTACCTGGGAGACAACTTCATCAAAATTTCTTCCAAAAACCCTCAGAAATGTCAAGAAGACGACTTTGTGGAATTGCTCGTATCACGAAGGCTTCTGCATCTTCTGATGGAAGAGTGAACTTCCCTTTTTTTGGGTGTTCTGGGTGCGTATTTTTAGGGAAGCAAAGAGGATCAGTTGGGAGTAGCAGAGGCTTCTCCAGCTGAGTTCCTCTATTCCCCTGCAGACAGGAAACTGCCTTCTATATTTCTCCTCCTTCAAAACTGTGTCAGACAGTGTCTAATTTGTAATAACTTCAAACATCCACGGAGAGTCACTGTGGGTCCACCAACATCTCAAGATGGACCCCCTCCAACACTAGTCCCCTCTGAGGGTGCACACTGGGGTGGGGCGAGGTTGTCATGTTTGGAGCTGAAATAGTTTTTTTAAACAAGCTGGAAGAAGTCATACTTTTCCATGATGAGGTCCCTTTTCGTGGTTGGCATTGCTGCCCCATATATTTTTACCATCAAATAGTTTTCCTCTTTCTTTCACTCTTCCTCCTCCTCTTCCCATCTTAGTAACGTATCCTGAGCGGAACAAATAAAATAAGAACGTGTCAAAAAAGAATAACTTGCATCTTAGCCTTTTCAAATACTCATGCCTTACCCAGGCACTGCCAAGACATCCAAGTCTGAGTATTACCTCTTTCTATTGACTCATTTCCAATTTTTTTATTTCAAGGGCAATTTTTAGCACAACTAAGCGAAATATAGGGGCATATGTCCCAACAAAACATGGAAAACAGCAAGGACTTTCAGGAAAATGGCACATTATCTGCTGAGCCATAATTTTCTGTCTCCAGTCTTCAGAGCCACATGGGCAGTGTTAAGGGACTCAAATGAGGCCCCAGTTGCCAGATAACATACATGGGGAAACCAAATCTAACTCTCATTTAACTCTATTGACTCCCACGTGGTTACAAAAGTGAAGAATTTGACTTGAGAGATCTCAGAGTAAGCTGCTAACCCACTAATCCTGATCTATAAGAACATGTTGCTGAAACTGTTTGTGCATGTGAAAAATGTCTGAACTACCAGCCTAAAACAATTGAAAAAAAAATCCAATTCTGGCTAGAACTTTAAATGCCAGTTTCCCTATTCACATCAAACTACCTTGACAGAAATAGGAATCATTCTGGGGCAAGTGAATGCTGAAGAATAAGCTTACCTGACAAAATAAGAAACTTCTCAGAGACTCCCTGGAAGAACAAAGTTAGGGAAATTTTTTGTTTCAGCAGAACTTCTGCAGCTCCAAACAGAAGGGCTGTTTTTCTCCTCTGGCGCATTCTTGAGTATTTTTAATCAAGAGAAGGGGTCCAGCTTCTGATGACACAGTGATCACAGGGGCACATCAGAAGTCTAAGCAAGGCATCTGCCTTCCAGTAATCCATCTAACACACCATGTATTGGGCTATTTCTCTTGTCTGTCTTTGCTGCTGCTTCGATCTTTTTCCTCTATTTAGACATCAGTTTTCATGAAACTTGGAGCAATACTATCTTCACATCTCTATTATATATGGCCACATGTAGCCAGTTCATATATTATTATAGAACGGTCTGACAGACGCACAGACAGACACACCAAAGTGGTAGTATGTCTTATTTACATAAAAAATCAGAAGCAGTAACCTCAAAACAAAATGTTGTTTTCTTCCCGATTTGTTTGTTTGTTTGTTTTTTAAATAATCTTCTTTTATAATTGGCTGTATTAAATGCTTGAGCTAGTCCTCCGTATTTTTTTTTTCTTGTGAATAGGATGAGAACGTAGGAATCACTAGAGGAAAAAACAGCATGGAGCAGGAACCTTTCAAGACAGTATCAAAATTTTATCTAGCATCTATTTGCCTCTTAGTAATGGGAATCCAGATGGACCAAGACTCTTCTTTCTGCTGATTCTCTTCTATGCTTAGCACTTGCTTCAGTATGGAGGTCTGTCCACGTGGGGACTCGCTCTCTTCCACTCACAAGAGCCTCATCTGGTATCCCTAGTCTCCCTGTAGCTTCTCTTCCTAATTCCAGATGAATTGCTTCAATATCTTTTTTCTCCTTTTAGTGGAACTGCTTATCTCAATGGACAGATTTCTGCATAGAATGTGCACTGACACAGATTAGTTGCTCATCCTGTGTATATCTGACATAAACACTACTATTGCTGCTCACAGTACATACCATATACTGAACAGTCATTTAATTTTCATTTACATGTGCAATGCAGAGATAGGAAACGTGGAAAGATGAACACCAGAGAGAAAGAAGAAAAAAATCTGCTTGATTTTCTGCTCTCCTCTATGATTCTGTGTAGAGTTTGCAATAAAGGAGACAGTCAGGTGCTGATGGCTGCTATTTCATTTACATTCCCTTGTGGAGTTAAATGTGACTTACAGTATGTTTAGCTGTTGCTTTGTAAGCTGTATAGTAGCCCATTTTTTAATATCTGAGTTATAACCCCCAATGAAACGTAGTCTTTCAATTTTAAAAATCACTTATATCTCAAACAACTTTATGGGACTGCTGCGGTTCTCTGGAAAATAAACAGCTACTGTAGTTTCTTTGTGCCCCATCTATCTGGGATTCCACTCTCTGTTCATGCGTTTCTGAGATTATACATTGATCTGAGGATCTTGTTTTCTAAATATGTTAAGAAAACCAAAACAGAGCCCAGATTTTTAGAAGCGTTTAGTGAAAACAATGAAAGTTGCTTTTCAAATATTTTAAAGTTTGTGGTTGATAATCTCAGCATTTTTCCGGACTAGAAACTGAACAGTGGATTTTATGCCCTTCTTTTTGGTTGCCATTTTCTGAAATTCTGCTTGTTTCCTAACTCCATTCCTATGTGCACAGGCAGTATTTTTGTATTCTCCCCCAAGTAGCCGGTCCCTGCTTCCATCTTCTGTGTGCTTCCTTTTTGGGGTTGAAGTCAGTCAGGAGATCCAAATTCGTCCGTGCTGGCCTTCTGCAGTTCTTGCTTGACTTTCTGCTCATTGGAAAAGACCATTCTTGTGCTCGGAGGAGGCCGTTCTGGAAGGTCAACCAGCTCTCCCTTTGGCCTCCAGGGCAATTTTCCATAGGATCCAGCCAAGCAGGTTCCTGAATAAGCAAAAAATATAATCTTCTCAAGTTCAGGGTTGTAATTTTATTATTTGTCTTGTTCACTCCTCTAAGGATCTTAAATTTCCTAGTCTCATAGTCCCTGCAGACAAGGCTGCCTCCAGACTTCACATCTTCAACCTTTTCTTCCTTGTGTTTGAGTAGCAGGTCCAACAGAGCATCTCCCATAGTCAGGTCATCAATCACCTGCATCAATAAATTGTCTTCAATACGTTCCAGAGACCTCTCAGAGTGGTTGTGTCCTGCCTTCCTTGTGCCCTTCCAGCAGATATTGGGATGGCTGAAGTCACTCGTGAGTACCAGGGCCTGCAGCTATAACGATTTCTCCACCTGCCTAAAGAAGACTTCATCTATTTCCTCTTCTTGATCAGGTGGTCTGCAGCAGACAATTACTACAACATCATCTGTGTTGATCTGTCCTCTGATCCCTACTCCACCCAACTCTCTTATTTACGTAGAGTGCAATCCCTTCTCCTTGCCTGTCCACCCTATCTTTCCTGAAAAGCCTATATCCACCCACTGTAGCACCTCTGTCAGGAGAGCTGTCCCACCATGGCTCCGCAATTAAAACGAGGTTATAGCTCTGCATCTGCATCTGATTTCTAATTCTTCCGGCTTGTTCCCCATGGTATGCAGGCTTGCATACGGGCATTTGATATGATCCCCAAATCATGCTGCTTTTACAAGGAAAGTGTGAGGGCCTCCCCTGTCATGCTGTCATGACCAGATACGTCTGCTCTATCCCCTGGCCCTTGCTTCTCTTCAGGTTATGATAACCTTCCCTGGCATATATCCCAGCCTTGCACAGTAGCCTTTCTTCCTCAGATAGCATCCCATGGGCATAGAAGCCAAGCCCTGCCTGTGACAACAGCCGTGCACCCAGTTGTTGACCCACTGAATGAGCCTATTTCTATTGAAGCCTTTCCCCCTCACTGGAAGAATTCAGGAGACACCACCTGGGCCATCATGCCCTTCAACTTTGCCCCCACAGCTCTGCAGTAACTCTCGATATGCTGCAGGTTACCCCTGTCACCAGCTTTCTGTGGGTGGAAGAGCAACAGGGGTCACAGTCTGAAGGCCAGATAAGCCTTGGTAGTCCTTTTGCAAAATCCCAGATCATGGTCCTTAGAAAACAAACCTCCAAATCACCAAGTCAGGCCAGCAGACAGGTGCTTCTGTCCCCTGCAGGAAGGTGTCTCCTCCAATACCACAGGCTCAGCTGGTTCTGATGTACCTCCTGACAAGTCCTGTTCGTCCTCACAGGTATCCATGCTGCCGTACCTATTCTGCAGTTGTAGGTGGAGTGGGAACCTCCTCCTGTTGCTAGAAGTCACAAGCTTCTGTCCTTCCCCTTAAAGAAACAAAAGAACAAAAAAACCCCACCATTTTCATAAACTAACCCACGTCACGGAAGCCCCAGAGTGTAAATGAGAAGGGTATTACTGACCTGCCTCATCTAAGAGCTGTGGGATGCTCCAAGGGCCTGGTAACACCAGTTACCAGAGATTCATTGACAGGCAGGAGTATGCCTGTTTTATGGCTGAGTCAGTAATGATCCCCCTCACACAACCATGTATCTACAGAGAAGGTGTAAACATGAGCAACAGCCCCCACTGTATTTGATATCCTTGAACTAGATGAGAAAGCATTGCCAGTCTTTCTGACGGAAAAGCAAATGTTCATTTGATACCATATACTTCAGAGCTATTTCCTGGGATTTAGGCCACTAAGCCAACTGCTCCAGGATGTTTAGAGAGTCACTGAGAACACAGAAGTGCAATGTGAGGCTTTGCATACGTCTTCCTGTTTTAATATTCTGGAGTTAACATTTAAGGCCTCTACACTATTACAGTTCTTATTTATTTAGCACCCAGTTTTTATATACAGCATTTGTGTGCACATAAATTTTTATTTGCTAACACATAAAGAAGTTAAGTTTGGAGTTTCTAGTTTTTTATTTTAAACAGCCTCCCAACCTACAGCATTATTGAAGCCTTGCCAGATGCAGGGCTAGATCTGTAACCTTGTGGTTTTTCACTCAAGATCAAGATCATTAGAGGAAGTCC